TAGAGAGTTTTTTTTAAAGGAATTGCCTTGGGAAAATCAAGAAGCTTTTCATTTGGATCCTTCGGGGTAGCTATTGGTTTGCACAGAAGAAGATTGTTCTCTGTCAAAATATCAATTACATATTTCCGCTGAGACAGACAAATGCCCTGAGAGGACCGAGAAATTTACTTGCTTAAAAAGTACCAGAGAGATCCCAAGTCCATCTCAAAGGAGACTGCAAGAATGCCTTTCAGAGATTTCAATGCTTGTAGACCATTCCCTGTGAGAACAATATCATCGACATAACCGATAAGGATAGCTTCCTGGTTGCTGGAGGAATGTCGGAAGAAGAGTGTGTGGTCTGATAGAGCTTTGAGTGAATCCATGTCCTACCATTTCCTTTGGGAATTTCCCGAACCATGCCCATGGTGATTGTTTCAGTCTATAGAGAAACTTTCGCAGTCTACATACTTGTCTTTGTGAGGTGCTGAAGTCGAAGCATGGAGGAAAGACCATGTAAACCTCTTCTGTAAAATCACCATTTAGGAAAACATTTTTGACATCAAGTTATGATAAGGGACAATCCAGATTCACTGTGAGGGTTAAGAGAACCCGAATGGTGTTTAAGTTAGCCACTGGAGCAAATGTCTCCTCGTAGTCAACTCAGTAGGTCTGTGAGTATCCTTTGGCGACTAACCGTTCCTTGTTGCGTTCAAAGGATCCATTAGATATAAACTTGATGTTCAAAATCCACCAGCATTCCATTGCTTTCTTGCCCCGAGGAAGATTAACAGTGTCCCAAGTATGGTTTCACTTAAGGGCATTCATCTTTTCAATGATAGCAACTCTTCAGGCTAGGTTTGCTGAAGCAATCTCAATAGTAGATGGAAGTTGATGATTTATTAGGGACGTAGCAAATGCTCTATAGTTTGGCAAAAATCTGCGAAATGAGACATAGTTTGTCATAGGATATATAGAATATGTCTGATTGCGTACCTCACTAAAGGAACTAAATTCCTCATTTTGAGTTGGAGCAGTGTTGAGGATGTCGTCCGGAGGGGATTCAGGGTCCAATCGAAGTTTCCATGGAGTTGATCAACCGTGACATGACCATGAAATTTTTCACTTCCAAAGCTTCATATGTTGGGCCAGTTTTTGGAGGTCATGAATTACACCAGTAAGATGACCGAATTTTCCACGACATTTGATGATTAAGGACACAGATTGTGACCATTGAAGAAAGTTACTGCCATTTAGTTTATGAGTTATATTAATGAAGTTCATGTTGTTTTCCTGTCCTCTGATTTGTTGAGGAACAAAGGTTGGAATTGATCCTCCGGTGGAATCAAGGACATTTGATGAATAATGACGGCTCAGTGTTGGAGGAGTCAGTCGTGACTCCGATTGTGCCTAATGAGATGTTAGGTTGTCGAGACATCGTAAAGTTTCGGCTACTTTGAGTAATATTTCTTCTGGATGGGTTCCCGCTAGGTTGGGCATGTTGGAAGTTGCCCTAGGTGGCCAGAACAGAGGTTCTGAATGGTAGATTCTGAAACCGAGGTCTTGGAACCGAAATTCTGAAGCAGATGGGTCCAACAGATCCTTAGTGCTATGAAACTGTGATAAAACTTGAAACAGAGCGTCGCCCTACTGTAGCAGTGCGAGAATCTGTGACTTCCTACTACAGTGCGGGATCGTGATCCTGAAGCAGTGCAGGATCAGTGCGGGATCAAGATCCTGAAGAAGCAGTGCGGAATGCCATAACAGTGCTTTATACAGAGAGGATTTCCTCTGTAACAATGTAACAAAGTTGGATTAAGCTGCAGGAACCTCCATGAATGCAGGATCCTGAAACAGAGCGGAAGCTTGGACAGGGAGTAGGACTTTCAGAGGCTGGCTGCAGATAAAGACTGTCAGCTAGATTAGAGTCATGACCCTAATACAATGTTAGAATAAAACCGAAATGCTTTTTATTGATACAAAGAGGAATATATATACTCATTACAGGATCAACTAAAAAGGAAAAAAATTAAACTCATGATATAATAGAAGTGTAAAGGAATAAAGCTGAATATAATAGAAAAAAGGAAATCAAATCAAATAATTCAGAATAATAGAATTAAATAATGGTTATTACTAGCTATTAAAGTATTCTAATAGTACCACTAACCCGTACATGCACTCATTACCTCAGTTTGAGTGCAACATCACTAAGCCTACAAATTAAAAAAAAGCAACTTTTGGGCTATTACGCTGCACACCATGGCTATCAAAACTAGTTTTTGAGTTGTATTCTCTTGCTTGACTCACACACAAATTATAATTTACTCAATATTGCTAATCTAACAATAACAAACGATGAAAAATTGAATCAAAGCTTCAAGTCTTCTTACGGTCATAATCATAGCAGATTATGATTAAATGAGTCCCTGAGTACCAAGGTGCCCCCATGAAATATCAAGCACACATGACTTCGTCTTCGCTAATCAATACTTCATCTCAAAAGAAGCGCAATATGAAATTTTTTGAAATTCAGAATAATGCGGAATAAAGTGGAATACTTGATTGTTTCATTGATATGAACGGGGGTATAAATAACCCTTACAAAAATTCTATAATAAAAAAAATAATAAAAAAGAAATGATATGAAAGGAAAGATATATCACCTGATATCTCTAATAATTAATTCATAATAATTATTAGGAGATATAAAAAATAACATAGAATAAGAAAATAAATGTTTCATAATCCAAGGAAATTTATATAAAATAGGAAAGAAAATATATTCTTTTATTAAGGAAATAATTTATTCCATATAACTTCCTGTAGGAATAAATTGTTTTCTATTATAATTCTTAACAGGAAAGAAATAAATCCTGTAATTTAAATTAAATATTTCAACACTCCTCAAGTTGGCACGAAGATATCTTTCAGAGTCAGCTTGCACACTAAACCGTCGAACTGTTTTTTTGTGAAGACTTTTTGTTAGAATATCCGCTGCTTGGTCGTTAGAAGAAACATACACTATACAGATATCTCCTCTGTCAATTTTTTCATTGATGAAGTGTTTGTCTATCTCTACGTGCTTTGTTCTATCATGAAGGATAGGATTGTGGGCGATGGCGATGGCAGACTTATTATCACAATACACCTTTATTAGTGGTGGACTATGAATTTTTAACTTCTTGAGAATTCTTTTAATTCATAGAACTTCACATATTCCATGAGCTACAAATCTAAATTCAGCTTCAATGTTGTCTCTTGCCACGACACTTTGCTCCTTGCTCCTCCAGGTTACTAAGTTTCCCCCTAGAAAAGTGCAATACCCTGAGGTTGACCTTATGTCCCAGCCCAATTTGCATCTGTAAATGCTTCTATCTGTAAGTAGTCATTTTTCTTGAACAGTAGTCCTCTTCCGGACGTTCCTTTCAGATACTTAAGGATCCGATAGACAGCATCCAAGTGATGAGTATTTGAAGAGTGCATAAACTAACTTAACCATGCCAACAACAAAGGCTATATCAGGACGAGTGTGTGATAAGTATATTAGTCTTCCCACTTGTCTCTGATATTGTTCTTTGTTAAGACCATCTATTTTATTTCACTTGTAGCCTTTTAGTTGGTTCAATCGGGGTTTCAGCTGATTTGCACCCAAGCATTATGGTTTCATTAAGTCGGGTACATACTTTTGCTGATTAATAAAGATCCCCTCTTAAGTATTTAGGAACATTCATTGAGAACATAATAGCTTGAGCAATCTCAACTAAATGCATATTTTTTCTTTTAGCAATTTCATTTTGTTGTGGAGAGTCACAATAAGTAAATTGATGAATTATGTTTTTGTTTATCAAAAACCCCCCTAAACATTTATTAAAGTATTCATTTCCATTGTCGGATCTAAGGATGCATATTCTAGTTTCAAATTGAGTTTCAATCATGTTGTAAAAATCTTTAAAGAGATTTTCAACTTCTGATTTTTTTATTATAAGATAAACCCAACATATTCTGGTGTGATCGTCAATAAAAGTCACAAATCCCCTTTTCCCAGATAATGTTTTGACTTTTGATGGTTCCCAAACATCACTGTGGATCGTAAAAAAAAAGGGTTTGAATAAAAAAAAAGGTGTTGAAGGATAGTATGGTTTTGGAGCAAAATTTATGCGATGATTTTTTTGTCAAAATAACACGTTTCACATTGAAGTAAAGCACGATTAACACCTTTAAACAAATTAGGAAACAAATGTCTTAAATAAGAAAAACTTGGATAGTCTAGTCTAAGATGCAATTCTATTATTTTTTTTTCTATTACAGGGTTCAAACCCATATTGTTGTAAGCTTGAACTCTTTTTTCACTAGGAACAGTCTCCTCAAAGTAGTAAAGTCCTCCTATCTTTTTAGCTCTCCCAATCATCATCCCTGACTTCTGGTCCTGAAAAACACAAGAAGATTCACAAAAAAATACATGATAGTTAGAATCCTTTGAAAGTTTGCTGACAGATAGAATGTTACATTTGAGTTTTGAAACATGGAGTACAAATTTAAGACATATACTCTTGGACAGGATAATGTTTCTTTTTTCAGCAATGGAAGAGAAATTACCGTCAGCAATAAAAACCTTTACATGGCCAGAACACGAATGGCCAGAACATGGGATGTATAATCAAATAAATAGTGTAAATTTTTCATATGATCAGAAGCTCCCGAATCAACAATCCAAGGGTTTAGTTTTCTACCTGCATGTACCATCGAATAATTTGGAGTACTAGTAGCCAAACTGGGGTTTAGAAGATTCAAAAGTTGATCGATTTGCTCTTTGCTAAATGGGCTGGTTTGTTTAACAACAATATTTGCAGTAGGTGGCTTGCACTTGTTTCTTGTCTTCCAATCTATAGTTTACCGTTTAGGTACCAACAAGTTTCTTTAGTGTGTCGTGGCTTGTTGCAATGATCACACCACATCCGGGGTTTCTCATTCTTCTGTGAATATGAGACAGTTTGCTTACTGACGCCGAGGTCTCAGGTATGCCGATAGGAGTGGATTTCTTATTGAGTACACTCCTCTTCGAGTTTCTTCGCGGCGGACTTCTGAGAAAGCCTCATGGATTGAAGGCATCAGACTTCTCCCAATAATTTTACCCCTAAAACCTCGTCAAACTCCTCATTAAGTCCGGCTAGAAATTTAAAAATTCTATTTACATCAACAATGGTCTTATACCTACTAGCATCATCAGAGAACTTCCACTCTTGATCATTAAACAGGTCAATGTATTGTCATATTCTCTTTAAAGAATGAAAGTATTTGGTGAAAGAATCATTACCTTGATTAATATTACCAAGTTTTAGGGATAGTTCATAAACCTGAGATTTGTTGCCCATATCTGAGTACATTTGGGTCACATTCTCTTAGAGTTCTTTGGCAGTTGAGTAACACATGTAGTTTGCTCCTATCTCTTCCATAGAATTTACCAACCATGTCATTATCATGAAATTTTTTGCATCCTAAGTTGTGTGCGATGGATCTGTATTGGCTGGCTCACGCACTTCCCCTGTTAGATAGTCTATCTTCCCTCTTCCTCTAATGTACATTCACCCCAATTGTGCCAGCGTAGAAAATTATCACCATTGAGACAGATTGTGGTGATTTGGGCTGGATGATTTTCGGTGGTTCTAGAGGAGCGTGGTGCGGAAGCAGATGACAAGGTGGAAGGTTGAATAGAGGTAGCAAAATCATTTGTATTTTCCGACATGATAAAAAATGAAGAGATTCCGAGATGAATTTTGATAAGGGGCTCAAGTTGGAATCCTGCCGGAAAGTCAATCTTGCCACCGAGATCGGCCTCAATCCAAAGCAGGCCGACGTCTGGTTCCAGAACCGTCGAGCTTGATGGAAGAGGACGAGGGCTTCGCCTTTTGCAATTCTTCGGGACTTGGAAGGAGGAAAGCGAGGGTTTTTTTGAATTTTTATTCCCGCTTTGATACCATGTTGAAATTCAGAATAATGTGGAATAAAGCGGAATACTTAATTGTTTCATTGATATGAACTGGGTTATAAATAACCCTTACAAGAATCCTATAATAAGAAAAATAATAAAAAGTAAATGATATGAAAGAAAAAATATATCACCTGATATCTCTAATAATTATTACAAGATATAAGAAACAACATAAAATAGGAAAGCAAATATTTTCTAATCTAAGGAAATAAATATAAATTTGGAAAGGAAATATCTCATTATGTTAAGGAAATAATTCATTTCTCATAACTTCTTTTGGGAATAAATTATTTCTTATTATAATTCTTAAAAAGAAAAATAATAAATCCAGTAATTTAAATTAGATATTTCAACAAAATTACTCCAGATACACTTCAAATACAAAGTTTTTGTGAAATGATGAACAATTCATGAGGCAGCTTGCTGGTAGTTATATCTTGCCAAAATCACCAAACTAGATCTTTGAGGTCTCGGATAATTGATACAAATTTCATTATTTCTTGCTTGGACCTCACAAAATTAAGTGCTTTCGCTTATTTTGGGCCTCTAGATAGGCTCTTGAGCGAAAATCAACTATTTTAAAGATTTTTCTTATAATCAGTGTGAGTATCGTGTGACAAAATCAAGATAATTTCAAAAATCCTTAAGCTATTTTTGCGATGATGGACGTAATCAAACCTTAGCCCTGTGAAAAGTATGAGAGGTTGCAGACCAACGCCTAGGAGTAGGGAGGAGGGAAATGTGGAGGTGATCAAAGAGATAATCACCACCTAGGAGTAGGATACAGCCGGAGCACCACACATGTCATCGGATAAACCCTAGCAAGGGAAGAAGAGTACATGCGGAAATATGATAACAAACCAAGAATAACCTTAATTTAGCAAGCGCACTAATTTATGGTAGATAGATAAGGGGGAGGGGGAGAAGTGTAATTCATGCCAATATTCTGCCCAAGATTGTCTGATCGGTGCAGCCTTCTTGCTTGACTTACTCCTGCTAGGTCTGAATCCCGTGGTTTAACCCCGATGCACGCCCTGTGTCAGTCTCTCGAGATGGGGGAGCGCCGACTTCATTCGTCAAAGCTTTTTGGTCGTCGTAATACGGCGTTAGGTCTTTGATATTGAAAGTGACAAAAACATTGTAGTCCTCTGGCAAATCTTATCGAAGGGATTTTCACATAATATCTTTTTCTAACTCACAAAAACAAACGCTTCAAGTATTTGTCCTATACTCCTATATGGTGGGTGCAAACATGGGAAATCATTATCCGAGGGAATCCTTATTATAGATATGCTCTGTTAAATTTTGGAGGAAAATTGTTTCAAGCTATTTTTGCGATGATGGACGTAATCAAACCTCAGCCCTGTGAAAAGTATGAAGAAATACAAAGAAAAACTCAATAATTGGATGTTTTGCACTCAAAGCAGCTTTGCCATCTGCCCCAATTTGCAAAGGCAGACAAATATATAAGTTTCACTGAAGCTTCCCAAGAACTAATAAAAGTAAGGATGTGACATGCCTCCCATGAACGAGTGTTTTGCTTGATTTTGATGACATCATTTTATGTTTAGATTAAAATTAGCCTCTTTAACAAATTGCTACTTTGGATTTATGAGATCTCTTTGATTCTACAACCTTCTTTTCTGCATGGTTCAATTTGTTAGGTTGCATTGGCCAAGTAAACTAGAGAGTATTATAACTAGTATCGCCTGAATGCTGATTTTTTGATCGGATCTATCTTCATCCCTCCGATATCTATTCTGTTTCAGTAGCATTATATATTTTTTTATGGATTAAAATAGCCAAAACTAAGGTAAAGCATTGCATATTCGATATTCTTTAGGCTAGCCATAATTAAAAGTGCTTTGTTATGATGGAGAAAGTTACTTTACCAGAGGCGTATGCCTATGGGAAATATCAAACTAGATTATAAAGTGCTTGTAAGTGGGCAAAAACTTTGGATAGTATTATATGTCTTCTAGAACATCAATTCATAATTGCTTAAATATTCAATAGAGCAGGATGGGATTTTTTTGGGGCCAACGAAAGCTAATTTGTTTTTATACTTTGCTTGGAGCTTTTACTTGCAAATTACATCATCAGATTGCTGCATCTATTACATTGCTCAGTAATGTTCTTTCTCAGGTTGACCCATATCTAAGAGTTGGCGAAGACTTTCTTTTGTACGCTAGACCTGAATCCAACTTAAAAGAGTATGGTTCTGATGCTGATCAACGTGCTTCAATGTCATTTTTGGCTGATTTGAGGACGATAATGATTGAATGTGGTCCACATTTCATTGATGTTATAGTTCATCACCTTTCCATATTAACCAACGTGAGTTCTTTAATAGATATATTTGTTTGGCGCAAGAAAAAAATAGAAAATCTGTGTATCCTTGTCATATAAACTGAACGAAGGATTATAATACTAGTTGTTATTTCTGCTAGATGGACAAAAATGACCTAGTCAAGGTACTTTCTGCTAATTTCACTCCGGAGGATGGGGCTTGGAGTTTATTAAGCTCGTTTCCATTTGTTGGATGGGATGTCGGTAGATCTGTTACAATTTCGGAAGACTCTTGCCCTTTTGCTGAGGCAAGTTCTTAAGTTATCTCTCTCAAACTTTAGCAACAAAATGCCAACTGCTGCATTACTCAATTTGGAATGTTCTGGTTCATCATATTCATCTAACTTTTAGGAAAATTTGAGCTCATCGAGAGATGGTGATGCTGCCGTTGAATCTGTGTCTACTGGTCTTCCCAGATTGCATCCCTCTAATTCTGAACTGCCATCATTGCCACAATACATGAGCGTTGGGCAGCTCTTAGAATTGGTAATTTTAACTTCTTTCAATGAAACGAAAGCTTTTTCTTTGGTCATTATTGGGTGGATTTTTTTCTCCTAGGAGGAATAAACATTCTGTCTGTTTGTAAATTTTAATGCTTCAACCTTGAAATAAATGCAATTAAAAGTATTTATTCTTTTTAACATTATTAAACTGGTTGCAAACGTGATTTTATGAATTCTTAAGATTATTTGCCCATTATATGGATGCATCCAAGTTTTCTTAATGAATTTCTTTGATTGCATGAAATATATTTTGCATTTTGAACATTTGCCCATTATATGGATGCATCCAAGTTTTCTTAAAAGTTTGCATGAAATATATTTTTCATTTTGAACCATAGTGTCTTCCAAATGTCCTCAAATTTATTACATGTTATTGATATATTGCTTATATTGGTAGTTTTGATTAGTGACATACATAGTTGGATTTTTTTAAGTGAACTTTTATATGCCGTTTGATCAATCTTGTATTTTAACATGTTTGATGAGTGGTCAAGTTATTATTAAGATTGATTAAACTTAATCTACAAGTACTTTTTATATTGGAAATCATAATCAGTAATGTGAAGAAAGAAAAGAGAACAGACAGTGAAGAAGAGACAATACGAGAATGGTAGGAGAATATGGTCCATCTCACAAACATGCCTTTGATTCTCCATCATTCATTGGTTTTTTGTTATATTTGGTTATATACAAAGTTTTTTCTTTCTACATTTTTTCTTTGTGTTCTCTATCCCCATAATTGAAACAATACCTTTTCGGGGTTTTTAAAGGTATAATTCATATTTTTAAGTTCTTTCAAAGAAATAAAGAGCATATATAGGGTGGACTTCTTCCTCTTAGGAGGAATCATTTCTTTTGAATTTAGATTTCAATGCTACAACCTCCAAATAGACAATTAAAAGTAGTTTTTTTTTTTTTAAACATTATTAAAACTAGTTGGGCTGTTTAATTAGATTATTAAATTATTGGGCTGTTTAATTAGATTCATCTAAGTTTTTGCAATGGAGTATTCTGATTGCATATAAAGATATTTGCAATTTAAAGTCACAGACTTTCAAAGAGCTTGGAAGTAATTACATACATTGCTGATAATGCATATATTGGGTATTTTTGATTAGTGACATATATATACTTAGTTTTTTTTTAAAAGGACTTATGTTTTGTCCGATCGACCTCGGATTTTAAAATGTTCTACTAGTGGTTATCACAAATAGATTAAATTTAATCTTGTGCTTTTTATATTTTAGGTTATAATTAATTGTGTGAAAAGAAAAGAAAAGAAAACTTAAGAATGAGAATAGAAGGAGAATATAGCCCATCTCACATACATACCAATTGCCTCACCTTCAATTCATGTCTTTTGTTATATTTAGTTCTATATAATGTTTTCTTTTGTAGTATTTTTTCCTTATGTTCGACATATCCAGAAATCATAAAACATTATTTGTGCAATTTTAAATTGCATGGTGTAATAAAAAGCATGATGAAGAAAAAAAATCCTTCTTTTTGAGCTGTTTAATTTGTTTAAAATATTTTACTTTTTTCCTGTATAGTTATTGATCTGTGAAACCTGTTGATGATTTGAGTCATCAAAGGCACTATTGTTCATGTTTCACCTAAATTAGTAACCTCTGATCATATTTAATCAGGCATTGCATGTAGCTGGTCAAGTATCTGTCTCATCAGTCTCAACTTCACCACTCCCATATGGAACTATGGCCAGCCAGTGTGAGACCTTCGGTATGGGCACGAGGAAGAAGCTCTCAACCTGGCTAGTTTCTGGCCATGATGAAGTGCTTCAGAATCCCTTACAAGCTCTCCATGAGAGCAAAAAAACCACAAATGGGAAGGTGAACTCTTCTCTCACAAATCTATGCCATCAGAAGTAGAAAATGTGCTGAATCTGCTTTCTGTAATTCACAGCAGGTATTGCTTGGCCAAACATGGCAGGCTCTGAGGCTTCCTCCTGCAAGTCCCTTTGACAACTTCATGAGAGCCGCTGGATGTTAGGTGTAAGCTTCGTCCTACTTATCTTTACTTCTGGTTTTCCTTGTACAAAGTTGTCTTCTAAATCTTAAGTTTGTTTTAGACATGAATGTCATCTTATAGCTCAACTTCTGGTATTTTTTATGCGCAAATTTGTCTTTCAAATCCTTAGTTGAGCTTGTTTAACCTGGTAGGTTGGAGAGGAGTTTAGATGTTAGACTGATGCCTTAAATGTTTACATTTGATCACTTGTAGCTGGTAGAATTAGCTGTAGTTTCATGCATGAAATCTTTAATTGAGTTTTCTTGTCTTCATGTGATTTTATTTTCCTTGGTCTGATTTGCTACGTACTTGTTTTTTTGTGTGAAATTTCTTAGGCAATTCAGTTCTACTGCATATTCTATTTATTTATTATTATTTGTTTTTGTTCATGTAGCAAGAACAATTTAAATTCATAACTTATGTAGGACAAATAATGCATCTATTTTTTCTTCACACTCATGTTCTAATAGTTAGCAACCGATTTAGTAAGACTATGACTTCAACCATGTCTTCCATATACACATGATCTTTTGCGAAATAATTCATGAATATATACTGGCTTCGGAACCTTAAGATTATTTTGAAGAAAAATATTTAAATAATAAAGAAAGCTTATCTTATTGAATCCTAGCCCATTGGTTCATATTAAAAATAACAAGGCACCGGTCTAGCTTCATATAGACACATTGAGGTTAACCTCAAATAGGTTAATATTACAAGGTTTTAATGAAAATGGAGGTCTGACATTTATAATATAAATCAATGCGCTTGGATTTGTTAGTTAAGAGTAAGCTTTTCTATACTTACAGTGATGTAAAGGATTCTATTATGATTGGTGGTTCCTAGGAGTATATCGTCACCCCAAAACACTTTTCCATGTGATTTTTGAGCAAATGGGCATCTCTTTCATCTTCTTGGGCAAGTTATGGTAAAAAGAAATCTTGACCAAGGGAGTCTTTATGAGTGTTTCTGATGTGGGGGCTATGGAGGACTGACCAGTCCTCAAAGAGAGGAGGGTTGTTGCTCATCCCTTTCCCTTATCTCCCCCTTTCCCTTTTTCCCTCTTAGCACCTTTCTAATATAAGTCTTTTCAAATCATAATATATTTTTAATTTCTATATAAGTCTTTCGTTATTTTGGGTCTTCATTGTAACCCCTGTTTTAAGTCAGTAGTAAAATTGTGTCATGCGTCTTAGTTTGGGTTAACTCCGGTATCATTTGACATCAGAGCTAGCCCAAACCTAGTATTATCCTAGGGTTTCTAGCATCCACCCCTATCCAATCCACCACATTATTTTTTTCTCTCCTTTTTCGTATTACTTTCTTTCTTTGTTCTTTCTTTCTTTTCTTCTGCAGATTCCAAACCTCAGCCATGCCATTGAGGAGATCGATGCCTTAGCCTTCTTAGGACGAGATACGGTGAGAGCTCCGTCGTCTTTAGCGTAGGCTTATGGATATTGAAGAGGAAATCCAGTAGGAGGATACTCTCGACCTTGATCTTGAAGGTCGAAGGGAAGAATGAGAAAATATGAAGATAAAACATGAAATATAGCATCAGTTCCTACCAAACTACTACTGCCAAAAATTGCAGACTCTAGTTTCCGAAGAGGAGAGACCGTATCACTAAGAGACCCCTTTGCTACTATCCGGCGGAACTAATCTGCAAGACTATCACAGTCAGAAAATGTTGTAAGTGCCACGGATATGGACATGTTGAAGTACACCGCAGACATTGAAGCGCAGTTCTAAAGAGAATTTTCATCCGATGACGTTTTCCCCCGTGGAACCCTCTTGTTCGAGGATACATTCAATGCCATTCCTCCTTGTAATCAAAAGGAACATGCGACTTTTGATGAGATTGTGATTCTTTCTCTCCCAGAAGATGGAGAACTTTATGTTTAGACATTAAAATCATGCAGAGCAGGAGATGTCAGAATTTAAATTTGTAGTAGATGATCTTAATAACAACCAACTATAACTTTACAGACGACTGCACTTCAAACCCTCACCCCCAGTGTTTCATATAAAGCTCTTGTTATTGGAACACATTAGAAGATGTCAGTTCTCCAAAACTTAAAGAGTCGAAAGGAAGACCCAAAAGATAATATGAATCACACATCAACCAAACTCTTGCAAATCTTCAACCTTTCTGAGGCCCAACTTGTCATAGATGAGAAGCATATGAGATATTTACTTGTTTGGAATTTGACTTGGGAGAATCTACGTGGTGTACCTTTGGCTCAGATTATGCCAAATCAGAATAGATCGATAGGGAGATCAATTTTTGATTTTTCATCAGTCCAAAAACTTCTCGCTTCTCCAAATTTCAGTTTCTACTATGATGCACTTCATAGTGCTGTTGGAGCTTATGCCAAACATATTTTTATTGAATAACTTGGTGGAAAAGAAGGCTCTCTATTAAATTGCACTCCTAAGAGACTTTGGTGGGGGTCATTCAGACGCTAACCTGACTTATGCCAAGGAATTAGTAGTATGGATGGGATTGAGCAAATTGGAACCGCAAGATGAACCCCTTGAGCTTGGTGCAACTGGTGCTGGTGATGTTGATTGTAACATGATACTTGGTAAAAAGTTCTTTGTGACTTCATCTGATTTTGTTGTCATCTTTACTGTGAACGTTTTTTAGTTCATTATTGTGACTTCATCTGATTTTATTGTCATCTTTACTGTTAACGTTGTTCATTCACTGCATTGCTTGATGTTTTAACAAATAATCTATATCTGAAGTTTTTTGAGGTGCCAACGGGATGGAAATTCTTTGGCAACTTGATGGATGTTGTACATTGTTCTGTTTGTGGTGAAAAAAGCTTTGGGACATGTTCAGATTATATTCGTGAGAAGGATGAGATCTGGCCAATCTTAGAATTGCTTTCTATTCTTGCCGACAAGAACATGGACAACCTTAATGGGGGAAAGCTAGTGATAGTAGAAGACATATTTCGCCAACACTGGGCTACTTATGGTCTTCAATGGGATCTTGGGGTGGCTGACAACAACACAAATGCTTAGACCTATAATGTCGAAGCTCCCCCCAACCCCGGGAGACTGATGGAGGCGCTATAAAAGAACGACCAGTCCCAATAAGAGGGGGGTTGTCGCTCCTCCCCCAACCCCGGGAGGCTGTTGCAGGCGTTATGGAGGATCAACCGGTCCTCAAAGAGAGGGGGGTTGTCGCTCCTCCCTTTCCTTTCTCTCCCCTTGCCTTCTTTTCCTTTTAGCATCTTCTTAATATAAGTTTTTCCAATTCAGAATTTCTAAATATTTTTATTACTCTTTCCTAAATTTTGAGGTTTGATTTTATTTTTTCTTATTTTAAAAACCTTTCATAAAATCTAAAATGTGACTTTATTCTTATTTCTTATTTTAAAAAGCTTTTCCTAAAATTTGAAATATCATTTTATTCTCACTTCTTATTTCAATAAGTCTTTCCTAAAATCTAAAATTTGATTTTATTTTCTTTCTTATTTTAAGTATTTCCAAAAACGAAGGCACAACCTCATTATAAATAGAGGTCTTGTTTTTTATATTTGAAATTAGGTTTTAGCCTTGGTATTTTCTTCTTTGAGGACACTATCTGACGTCGAGGCAGTGCTCTAGCTGTTCCTCGTTTGAGGTGGTGATCGTCTCCGTGGGTTCGGGTGGTGCTCTGGCTATCCGGCTGTAGCTTGACCACCCCAATAAGATATTTATCTATTCTTCCACCTTTCATGTTGCTGTCCACCCGCTTCTCAGCCCTACAATAGTCCACCGCATCTTATTTCAAGAAGCCTTTCGTAAAATCTGAAATTTGATTTTATTTTCTTTCCTATTTTAAGTATTTCCTAAAACGAAAGTACAACCTCATTATAAATAGAGTTCTTGTTTTTGATATATGAAATCAAGTTTTAGTCTTGGTATTTTCTCCTTTGGGGGCACTATCTGACGTCGAGTTAGTGCTTCGACTGTTTCTCGTCTGAGGTGGTGATCGTCTCAATGGGTCTGGGTGGTGTTCCGGTTTTAGCTCGACCCCAACAAGATATTTATTTATTCTTCCACCCTTCATGTTGTTGTCCACCCGCTTCTCAGCCCTACAACAGTTCACCGCATCCCTCCCCCCAACCTGCTGTTAGCCTTCTCCCAGCAAGGCCGCAGCTCCCCATACTCCATCCCTACACTGCCTTTCCTAAACAACCCAGTGTTGGTTGTGTACCTTCCCAGAATTCCTCCCAACACTCAGTTAACCCACTTCAAGTAGTTTACTTTACTATCCAGGCATTTCCCATCGCAGCTAGCGCTTCCCTGCTCGATGTACACCCTCCGATAGTTCTGACGAGCTTTCCCCACTGTTGACTCATTTTCCCAGCTTGTTACCTCACATTCCAACCTACCTCCCAGCTGCCCAACAAACCTTCCCGCCACCTTAACCTACCGCCTCCCTCCTCTAGTTCAGGAAAATTAACTTAGAAAACATACTCAATCCCGCCACCTTCATTATAAGTTACATTCTTTTCTGTAATTATATATTCTTCTTACTACAGCATTCTGAAATTTTATCTTCATTATAATATTTTTGCTTAAGAAAATGAGAAATAGCATTTGACTTGGAAGAGGCTATGAGTCGAAGATATTTCTAGCTTTTTCTTCATTGATGTTATGATAGTGATGCATTCTTCCATTCAGCTATCAGTTATGTTTCATTTATTTTCTTAAATGTGCAAAAAACTTATATTTATGGCAGCTAAAAATAACTCAAAATGGTTCATAATTTAGTGAGAAAATTTACAATTTATATTGCTTAGCTTGCACATTTAACGGTCAAATTCTTGAATGATCTGTCTGAAAGCGTATTTTAGGATAATTCTTTTGTAAAACTATATTAATGCGAAAAGGAAGAACTTCCACCATAGAAAATATGACTTCTAAGCATCGTGTAAAGTATCAAGTGCACCAAGTAAAAAATTTACTTTTTAGCTTAAGTAATAATAAGGTATTCATACAATAAATCTTTAATGTTTGCATCTGATTAATTCTTAATTGCAAACAATTACATGTGACAAACCTTGTGGCTACACACTTGCTTTTATTTTGCTTTTAAGCATTCTACTGATTTCATTATAAAATTCATGGATTGGTGCGGGCCCAATTAGGTTTGAGTTGGTTTTGTTCGTACAAAAAAAAAAAAAAAATGATATTGATATTAAAAGTATTCGAATCTACTTATAAGTTCTATGCTTATAAGGA